CTTATTCGATCATTTTAATTTTTCTTGAATTTTCCCATCGAAGAAATAATTACTGAGATTTTCATAGAAAAATCAAATGAAGGCAAAATTTTGAAATATATATCATTCAACTCGACTTTCCTGCAGTGAAAATCTCATATTCGGGATCAGCTTCAAAACGCGAGTTGAGTGATATATATTTCAAAATTTTTCCTTCATTTGATTTTTCTATGAAAATCTCAGTAATTATTTCTTCGACGGGAAAATTCAAGAAAAATTCAAATGATCGAATAAGATAGAAAAAGAACACCATTCGACGCGATTTTGGAAGCTGATTACGAATATGATATTTTCACTGTGTGAAAGTTGAGTTCGACGGAGAAAATCACGAATTGGTGTCAGAATTTCGATTCTCTACAAGAACTTCATGTCTTTTCAATGATCATATTGCACATGAATATTTTCTATGCGTGTTCTGTTCGCTTCTTTTAATCCCATCGAAAGAAAGCATTGAGCTGATCGAATATAATATGGAAAACGAATATTTTTGATAATAGAACTGTTCACTTATTTTGTTTATCTAATATGACTATTTTTTCTTTCCTCACAAGAATGTCATTTTCATTCGTTCTTCCATGGCTAAATGCGACACAGCTCCAGAAGGATTATTTTTGGGAAGGCAACATGGTGTTTTCTTTTACAGTGATGGTTAATGCCAAATCTAACCACACGTCATTTTTTCGAAGAAAAACAACACTAATATTCTGCCAGGTATTGGTGTTTTATCACCGGAGTACAACTGACGGCATCGTTATGACTCATCACCTTTATTATCAGTTCCGTTTCCTTCCGTGCGTTCGCATGTCAATATCGACGAACGAACGTTCATAAATCACGAACTAAATCTCGAGTATCATATAATGAAAGACCGGTATTTGCATTCAATGTTTTTACCTCCTTTATGTGTTTTCTTCGAACCCACATAAAGGAGGTAAAAATTAGTTACATGAAATTTACATACCGTTATGATAATCGACTAACATCAACATAAATTTGACACATTTTATCTGTTGACACCAACTTTGTTACGATCTGCAGTGACGGACTGTTGGAGGTGCGTTATTGCTTGGTTTGGTATTGGTAATCATTGCTAATTAATTGCTATATATTCTTCTTATACACATTTTCTTTAATTTAAATGTTCTTTAATTGATTCGGTGCTCAAAAGTGTAGTTTTTTGGTGATCAAAACACACTTTCCTCATAATTTAAATTGTCTTTATATTATTTTTCTTGTCTGCCTACTCATTAATTGGTAATCATTGCTAATTAATTGTATGTCCTTGTTCTCGTATTCATAGAATAAAGTTGAAAGAAAAGGAAAAACTGAGTGGGCTGCAAAATTATGGTCTCGATGTGTATGTATAATGGTAGGGGAGTATTAGAAAGAAGCAGAATTTTTTTTTCGTCGAGAAAGATGACGACCGGCTTTCAAAAGACTGTGATATATTTACTACAAGCGCTGGTGAACGAAACAGCCATTAATATAGGTTGGCTAGATCAAAGTACGATGACAGCTATAATTACAGATATTAACGAGCCGAGTACACAACATTCGGTCACCGCAAAGTGTCAAATGAATCCATTCTCCAACGAATTGGAAAATTTTCAATGGGAAACTATTTTGGTCGATAAACGTGCCGTACAAAATATGGCTGTTTTAAGAGTACTAGGCTTGAATCAACAACAATACTCCATATTGCAACAAAATATTGAGGCAACCGATCATCTTGAAGCGATTTATGAACAATGCCGAACTTCACAACCAAAAATATTGGAATGTATTGCGAGTTTAACTGGGACTTCGTTCCCATTGACGTTCGATCCAACTCAACCCAAAGCTTATGCCACTTTGCTAGCAAGAGTTCCACCGCGAGAGGCACTGCTCATTACTGAGACATGTGGCAACATTGACGGCTCGACGGGAAATCCGATTAAAAACGTTATGTTTGGCCCAAAGCCCGGTGCGGTCGAACATCATCCAATTTCAGTAGCATTCAAACACGGTACTTCCCAACTCCAGCTTGTTTTTAACCCAAAAGCCGAAATGCGAGAAGAAGGTTCTATTCCAACGAGGTTGTTGAATGATTTTAAATTCTACACAGACGAGCATCACATCCCGATGAATAAATATGCCGTTGCCGTGTCAAACAAACAATCTAGCGTACGAAGCTCGATTGATGCTTTTGTATTATTATCAAAACGAAGTTTCATGCCACTGAATGGCGATTATCAAATAAAGACAAGTTTTCCGGCACAAATCACATCGGAAAGCCGTATAATCGATTGGAATACAGCTGAAGATGCAATTGAATGTACACGAATCGTTTCGCAATTGGCAAGTTTGGGAAAACTGCCAGAAAATCTTTGGGTGCTACCAACATTGTTTGCAGCTCAAGTCAAAGGCGATGACAATACGACATTCTACATTCGTGGCGGTCTCAGCGATGCGTACAGCAATGGGAATATTGTTGGCGTACCCAAACATTTTACACCGGTTACGGCTTGTGCATTGACTACCCGGAATATTTTGACACCTCATAAAACATTATTCGAAAGTATGGCTGAATTTGGTTTCGATCCAGTGAACTTATTCAAAGACATTTCAGATGGAATAATCGGTGCACAACTTCACTTCATCGCTATTCGTTGGGTACCAGATGCTCACACGCAAAACGTTGCTTATTTGTTTGATATGAGCCAAAAACGTTTTGCCGGTTTACTTCTCAAAGACGCCGAATATGAAGAAAATAAAACTATTCGTGGAGGAAAACTGGCATCATCCATATCTGATTTCAAACCCATATTGCAATCTGAAAGTGGATCGAATATAAGGACAGTTGTCTCTACACTCTACTTCCATCATACAATATATACGAAACACATAGAACCACTAGCACGTCTCTTACACGACAAATATCAGATATCAATAGCGGATATCCAGACAATTGTACATAACAGTCTGACCTCTTGGCTGGAAAAGAATTCAGGAGTAGACATGCAGAATAAGATTGACATTTCTGGCCGATACTACGAAAGAAACTTGGCTTGTAAAACACTGAAAATTGGCAAGCCGCCTTACTATCGTCTTATTCAAAATCATAAATTGCTTCCAGCTATACATTGAGAATTATACAACAGGTTTATTGCACATAAAACTCATCGCTATGCAAGAAAAGCAATAGAGCTTATAACTATAAATCAATATAAGGAAACGATCGTGATTTTGATTTTTTCATTTGATACCGAGGAAAGCAACCGAAGAGTGCTAGAAGTTAAAAATTCTTTCAGACAATCATCCGTCAGCGGAAAAGCCCCTTTTTCTGTTTTTATCAGAACTGTAACACTCTGATACACCTGGCGACATGAGTGTGACGTTATTCGATAGACAATCGCACAGACGTCCACACTCATAAATTGTCTTCGTCATGAAACGCAACTGGAAAAATTTGACAGCTCCGTAGGAAAAATGTTGTTCATGAGAAGATTAGCCTGTACTGCAACTGACTACTCAACAATCATCGAGCAGAGATCCAAGTTCGTTCCTCAAGAAAAATTCCAACAGATTGCAAAAAACTCTTTAGAATCGTTCAAATGTCCCGCCCGGCTTTTCTCCTTTCATCAGGCCAAATAACGTGCAATCAATGAACCCGCATCCTTCTGCAATGCTTGGCGGTAAACAATGTCGATTTTATTGTACAAAAAAGAAATAGTTGCCTACTGGAAAGAGATAACCGAAACCACAAATCGAAACGTACGTCGAAGCGATGGCCAGAAAAGCAGATAGTGATTCAAGAATAAGATCAGCAACAAGCAAACTAGAGAATAACTTAATCATTTTTATCACAGTTTCTCCTGTTTTCCTAACATAGTTCGTAAGTGGTAAGTGATTAGACTGATTACTTATCATTTATTGTTATCAGTGATAAGTGATATGTTCGATCATTTGCCACTGCCTGAGGAGTCGTAAAATCGGTACTTACCACTGATGCGTAAGTGGTCGGTTTTACCACTTATTATATATTAGTAAGCGGTAAGTGGTTACGTTTCGTATTCGCTGATAAGTAGTAACCGATCGGACATGTCACTTGTCACTTAAAAATAAATGATAAGTAATCAGTCTAATCACTTACCACTTACCGGGACCAGTAATAGTAATATGACACTCCTAATCGGCAATGATTGGGACCCCTTATAATGCAATCTTGTTGCCGTCTAACTGAAGTGTCCTGAACTGTTCTCGGATGAACGCCCGTTAGACCACAATTTGCATCTCTCTATCGGTTAATCTGCATCGTGACAAGTCCAATGTCGAGTCATCCTAAAGTTGAGCTTGACTTGGACAGATCTTAAATTCGAGTGTCCTATTGCGATATAATTATTACCACTGATGAACAATTCTGTTATGAACTGTTGAAAAAGAGAGCACAAGAACTGAACCTCTTTCTATTGAATAATGTGGAGGCCACTACCTAAATAGAGAAACGAGACTACTTTGAATTGACGAGCACCCAAAAGCAACACCTCGTCTTCTTTTTTGTAACACGAATGTTGACAAATATATTTTCCGCTCGCACAATCGATAGTACAGTAGAATGAGCAACGTTGAAAGTCACGCCGATGACTCCTTTCATCTACACTTCATCAATCATTTTGAAGGACAGATAGAGGAGCATATACGACTGACAGACCTGCTGATAAGTCCTTCCAAAGGCTAGATGAAAGGATTATTGGCAAAGAGGAAAAAGCGGATTCTGATGGATCCAGGAGTCCTTGGGGTCCATGAAGATCCATTAGGATTTACGAGGAGCCATGAGAATCTATGAGAACCCAAAAATCTCAGGATCTGGTTTTCCCTCTTGGTCCGCCACGTGCTCACTTTAGAGAGATTATACCGTGGATATAAAATAACAATGAAACAAACAAGTCGGAGTTTCACTGCCGACATCCTGAAGATCGATTTTTATGTCAATCAACTGATCGTTTCTCGGATCCTCATGAATCCTATGGGATCCTGAAGGCTCCAGGTTTTATCAGAATCTGCTTTTTCCCTTGACCGTAACGGCTTGGAGTCTTAAAATGATTGTCATTGTACTGTATCAATTACCAACAGCCGTTGACGAGAAACCGTCATGGATTATGTACTGAAAAACTCAATTCATAGTTCTTTTTTACAACAGCTGTAAGGTTTCTCACGTATCGTTTATGAATTTTTCAGATTATATTCTGTGATGATCACCCCGCCTCATTTAAACGACCGAAGCATATTTTCATATGCACCTCCTTCCTATAAGCCATCGGCTGCAGAAATGGCTTCGAGAAGTCGTAACAACAACAATGATGACGATGACAAAAAGTATGCTGGTATTACTGACTGTCCAACGGAAATACATTGTATATTGCCTGATGGCATAAAGGTTGAAAATCATCCGACTCGAGACGGTGAAACGAATTGGGGACTGTATGCTACAAAATTGTTTCCAAAACATTCGGTTATTTACACCAGAGCACATGGCGGTTATATACATGATAAAAATGTCGACTATAAATTGGTCATTGATCCAGAAAGTAAATAATCTTTCCTTACAGGGATACAAAGTTTGTCAGCGTAGAAGAGTCTCGTCGTCGGCTAAAAGGAGACACTCATGGCAGCAACTGTATATATCTTGCTGTGCTCTCGTATCTGTAAAGAACCCTCCCTTCGAACGTCGTCGTTTTTCAGTATCTAAAGACTCAAACCGCAAGTGTTATCAAGGACTCACCGTTCTTTCAGTCACCGTTTTGCCATAAGGAACTGCCCAGACATACAATATGTCTGTTCTTTCTAACATATTCAATCAGTGAGCACCAGTGATCGCTGATGTCTGCCTGCTTTTTTCGCTTGCTTCTTTCGTTTACAGTCTAAATTTGCTATTGATTGCTCCAGACTCGTTGAAGAGGAGTTCTTATGCTTAATTCACTCAAGCGCATTTCAAAAGCCTACATTTACAGTAAAGAACTTTGTTAATATATTAAATATATTGCTTTAATTAGAGGACAAACACTACACGCGTTTTCGAGATCAATGATGGACTTCAACGAGTCTGGAGCAACCAGTAACAAATTTAGACTGTAAAATGATGAGTCATCCGGTTAGCATAAGCGACTGCAGGGCTTTTAACTGTATAAGCTTTTGGTGGTCCGGCCCGGCCTGAACCTGTCCAAAACCTGCTTAGGCCCGTCCGGTGGAGATAATCTACACTCACTGTCGCCTTTTATGCACTTCACTTGGGAGGTGGCAACAGTGAGTGTACGAAAGTTGGTGTAGCTTATCTTGACCGGCTCGAACCCGAAGGAAAATTTTTTCCCGTAAAAATATAAAATTTTTTTGCTGCATAGAAGTAAAGAAAATTTCACCAAGTTAGCAAGAGACCTATAATTAATCACGCCAAGAAAATAGAAACATATTTCGATTAGAGCAGCTTTTCTTAAGACCAACAACAACATAAAGACACGTAGGATGGATGTGAAATAAAGAGAAAGAGATATAAACAAAGAAAGAGACAGTCAATCACCAGGAAGGTATTGATCGGCTCAATTGATCACTGAGCATTTAAATACTGCGTTTGAGTCCTATAGTCCTATCCTGCTCTAGGCTAGGCTATGGCTACGATAGTACGATGTAAAAAGTGTAGGGAAATGAAGCATACAAAATCTGGAAACGTGATGTTTCCAGATATGAAATTGAGAGGATTTGTAGGCGAAAACTGAATGATATCTTATTGTCTACACACGTCAGATGAATTCGAGCTTTTCTAGAGTGATAAACGCAAATCTTTTTGTCAAAAACACAAATAATTTTATTTTTGTAGAGTAGGTTATAGGGTACCACTTGTGGTTTGGAACACAGGCTCTTTTTGGTTTCGGTTTTGTGGTTCCGTGAAAATAAATCTTTTTTTGCAAGAGGAAAAGCGATTTTTTCGAAGTCAACTGAAGCGTGAGATCGTTGAGAGTAAATAGTTATCGATGCTCAAATCCATCATATCAGGTCTCGTTCTAAAAAGAAAAAGTGCTCTATCCACGAACGGAAAAGTCACTTTTTAAAACAACGCGTACTACCGCGGAGCTGAGGTTTCAGAACCGAAGTCAGAACTAGTTCTGCAGCTCACTAGGTACGACTTTTGTAGGGTAGAGGAAGGTTAGGGTACAACCTAAGTGCGCTATGGTAGGGCTAGGATGCGATCCTCTTAGAATAGAACTTCAAAAGGCTTATCCTCGCAGTACTCTAAACTGCATCGACCATGAAAGCTTTTTTGTGAGTCTTACCAGTAACAACTGGATATCATAATGACTGGCCACGGTCACGCACGCGACTGTGTTTGTGACCTTGACCAAAAATTCTTGGCCACGATAACCTCTAGTAGCGACACTTATCAATTCTATAGGAGAAACAAGCCTTTTAAAAGAAAAAATTCATCATGTCGCGCCGGTCCAACAATGTTACTGGCCAGGCTCTGCTTGATGAAAGCCTTGGTGCGCACTTACGTTTCTGTTTTTAGATTTCATATAGAAATCGTTGTCTGGCTGGCTAAGAGGATTCTCTTAAGCGCATGACAACTCACTCCCGATGGTGGATAGTGCATGAAAAGTCAAACACATATTACACAAAAAGCCATCTAGGATTAAGGTGAAGTTCGTTGAGCGCTTGCAGCTGGTCATGTTGGTGTATTAAAGGAAAATTTGTCGTTCACACCCCCATCACACTACGGAACCTTCTCTCAGTCGAAAAGTTCTTCTTAAAAAAATTCTACGTCAAAAACTGAGCTTATAACCTTTTTCTCTGGATCAGAAATGTATTTTCGATTTTGGCAGAATTTTGAAGATCGAGTACTAACAATTCTCAGTTAGTGCTTTTCCGTTCTTCAACCGTTTTCCCACTATTTCTCCATCATTTCTAGATATAGTTGTTTGAAGCAAGGAGAAGTGATGAAGCTTGGGAAGCTCTATCAGCTGGTGTTATTGAATCGAGCTTTGAAGTTTGATTGGATCAGAAAAATCTGGTTTCATAGTCTCTGGACTGAAGTTCGCCACTTTTTTAAGGAAAAAAGGTAAACTCATCTCGTTTGCACCGTCTTTCAAACTGACAAAAACTTCTCTCTATGCCCAACTTGTAGAGATACCCGAACTCTGCCATGTCTCCATGCTTCGAACAAACCTAACGAGAAATGGTGGAGAAAATAGTGGCAAAACGATTGAAAAATGGAAAGTACTGTTAGACCTAAGTTTCCTCTCACAGAAGACTGAAGCTACTTACCACTAAATATTCGCCCAAGGCTGTTGATGAAGTTAAGGAAATTAGAGTAACGTAAATATTTTAACAATTTATTTTAAAAGTAGAAGAAGAAGACAGACGCAGACTAACACAATATAAAACGATTTTATCACGACGACACTTGTTCACTTACTGAATAGAAAGGAAATACATGAAATTTTCGAAAACACAATTTCGCTAATGCGTTTTTCAATAAAGTATTATACTATTGCTTGGCTATCTAGTATGAACAGCAAATTCCATGTAAAACGGTGGAAAAACGAAACTCATTTTTTCATATTAAGGCAAGGCTCAGCCTAACGGAGCCAAACTGAGACAAGACTCAAGCCTAGCGAGCCTAGTGGCTCCGCCGCCTATGAGGATGTGTACGTATAATGGAAAGAAGATGTAGTCTGTGTATATGACTGAACAACCAGAGAGATGCATATGAAATAGGTCAGCATGTCTAGAGATAGCTAGGCATGATAAGTACTAATTGAGAACTATTTTCAAAATTCTGCCAAAAATCGAAAATACCTCTTCTGACTAAGAGTCATTGCATGAGAAAAACGACAGCTTGCCACAAAAGTATGCTGAATCAAGGTCTCAGATTGTTCTCAAACCACTTTCATTTTGTAGAGCGTATCACAAAACCTAGAATTCTAAATTTATAGCTTCAACGGACCTCAGGTTTCCGAGTTATGAATGGTTCTGAAAATATTTTTGATTACACCGTTAAATAGTGCACAACATTCAGTACAAGACGAGATATGACTCGACGTTTTTGTGCTATATTCGGCGGTCTGATAAAAAATTTCGAAAAAATGTTCCAGAAATTTTAAGGTTTTTCTATAAAACATTTGCGATTTTCCAGAGATCCTTTCAAATCACCAAGGTTTTGATTAGCCCGTCATCGAATGCGACCGACTCACTCTCACTTCATTCTACTTAGGGCATACCAAAAGTAGTGGCAGTGGTATTTTTATTCCTTATAGAAAGGTTAAAGAAACTTTCTTTTCATATAGTCTCATAGAGAAAAGAATGTTCTATTTTTCTACGCTATTTGATCATACTTCAACTAATATCATAATAATAAATTTTCGATAAAATCTGTTTCGTTATAATATGTCCTGGTTATATTAATACCAATTTTAAAAACTACGAGCGAGCATTTTTTGAATAACT